ATTTGAACAGATCCCAGTGATGATCACTGATGTCCAAGCGGAGCGGAAACTTTTTAAGGGCCACTTATTAATGCTGTGGTTTAAAAAGGATAGGCCTGCAGCCTGAAGATCTAAAACGAACCTCAAATTCGAGCGAGCTCAGCTGGCTGTCAGAGAATAAAACACTGCGTTCAAGAGATGACTGAAGCAGAGAGTTTTGTTTTCAACTCGAATGTAGTACGAAGAAGCACGCAAGTCGGGGCCAAAGCAAAAACTGATTCCTGAGCAATTCAGTGAGATGCTTGAGCTGAACTTCCAGACCGCCAACAAGGCACTGTGCGGACATTCGTATCGTCGAATGATATAGCCACGAAAAACAAGGCCCAACGTCCTGCTATTAAGACTGAGTTCATAAGTCAGCGATGGAGAGAGTACATTGAAGAACTCATTAATCCTTAACAGGGAAGATGTCAGTATTAAAGTCGATAAAGTCAAAGAACCTGTAAAAGGCTGCTGGAATCAACGATTTGGCCCTAGAATCCGTAAACATTTAGTCGAATGCGGCATGTTGTGACTAATACGTGGTTATAAAACTGCCATTGCTACAGGGAAGACACCAATGGACTAGAGAACGGGGTTTGTTCCTGTGTACCTAGTATTCCTGTGTTGAAGAAGGAATACCATACTGTTTCAATTATCGTGGTATTACGCTATTGAACCTCCAGGCAAGGACATTAGAAAGAAGATATTGCGGAATAACTAACTTCAATATCAATGTGAGTTCAAGTTTGGCCAAAATATCACTGACGAAACCTTCGACTGATTGTTCAGCAATCTTGGGAATTCCCTCCTCCCATTTACATGTGCTTGGTGGAGAGGGAGAAAATCTCTCACCGGATCCTGCCCAAAAGAAGCTCTGGGTGTTGCGGCAAGCATATGGGGTTAATGGCAAGTTGTAACGAGCCATCCACATGATCACAGCAGGTTTAGCGTGAGAATAAACGGGGTAAAGTCGACACCTCTCGCTGTTGGCACTGATCTCCGCCATGGCTGCGTTTAGCTCCTCTCCTGCCTCTTTGGTTATTTGAATGGGACAGGCAGTTGCAACCAGGGCGACGAGTGGGAGATTATCTGCGTGGGAGATTAGGAGAAGAGAAGGCTGCGTTTGCAAACGTCTTTGCCTTGTTGGCATCTTCTGAAACTGACTTCTAATGCTCTCTGGAACAACCCAAAGGGGAGCAAGACGTGTCTGACACGTGGGTGAACTTGTCTAAAATGAAAAACCCAGTGCTATGTAATTCTTCTGCTCGGGTATGTAGACGAACGGAAAAGCGTGGAACAGTTGCTGAAATTTGTGTACCTTAGAATCCTGTCTAGTGGTGATGGAAAATCAGAGAAGTCGACCAGCGAATTAAGATGGCCAGCAGTATTCTATGTGAACTAAACCGAAATGTTGGACTCAAGCAGAGATGAATCGGGAGTCTGAGATCTTAGTGTTTAAATCGACATTCTTCCTGATGCTCAGCTATGATGGTAAATAGTGGGCATCCTAAAAAACTTCGAGAGTTGATGTATACCACTTGCTGCTCCAGATTAAGAAGCCACTACTATGATGGTTTGGGGCGTGCTGCAAATGCTTACAGAAAGTAAGGTTAAACAGATACTACTTGTCAACCGATAGGCCAAGAATAACCTGGAGCAAGTGCGCGAAAGGATTTTGCCCGAGACTCAGTTATCTCCTACCGAAGTTCAAATACTGGCACACGATCGGAAACATCAGAGACAGTATGAGGCGTCTGATTATGCGATCTGCAAGTATAACCGGTTATCGAATATGACTGACTGATCAACTACATCGGAGGACGAAAACGTTTGGCTTGTCGAAATATATTATCCAATATTCAAATCTAATAATCGTCTGTCAACCATTTAGCATACAACCGACATGTCTTTCAAAACAACACATGGATAATTTCTATGCAGGTGATCTGACCTTTGGCATTGCTGTTCACAGTAAAAATACGTGACAGACAAACAACATTCTCATTTTCACAGTCAGAAATGACGAAGTACTGAAACGTTTTATTACGTTTAAAGACTGTTTTTTACTACGAAATCTCAGGTCCTTCAAGGCTCATCCTCAAAACTAAAACAATTTCATGCCGCCACTCTCTAATCGTAAAGCGAATTTAATTTAATTTTTGTTTACTAGCCGGACTTCATTTTCATGAGATCCGTAGGCTGCGTTGAAAACGCGTATGTAGCGTTGACTCCTGTTTGTGGAAACCTTGTTCGCAAACTGACGCAAGAAATATATATTTATATCAGATTTCAACAGTTTTGTAAACTGAAACACCACAGCGAAGCAATGAAACTCAAAACGACAGGCGCGACTTCGAACTCACGACTACAACGTGTAAGATGAACGCGACTGAACCTGAAAGTCACAAAAAAATAAATCAATTTTAGTCAAACACGTACATTGCAGTAGATCAAAGTAAGCGTTTTTATCGATGTTTTACATTTGAGTTATCAAACCATGCATACACTAAAAGCAGTCCATCGATGAATTATAAGGTCGGAATCGAAACATATTTGAAGAAAATTTGTAACTGCCAAATTTTTCAGAACGAGCGTGGAAAATCATTGAATTTTCGAGCGGTTATTTGTATAAGATAGTCATGTCATAAAAAAGAAAAAATTAGACTTAAATTCAGAAGGGCGAAACATGCTAATTGCATGGAGATTTAGTGATCATGTAACAACCGCAAATAAGCTCTCCCTTGGCCTCATAACGTAAGCACGATAAATTACGGCAATCCGGTGAGGATAAAAAAGTCAATTTTGCTCATTCAGCAAAATCATTCGGTCATATGGTTTCAATTAAGCAAATATTCAGATGTAAAAAAATATATCATTAATTAATAACTCTGACATAATTTTTAAATGTAGCGCAGAGGCATGATACAGTACCTGTTTTGCTTGAGATTATTTTAGCTTTAGCAACGAAGTAAATCAGATCTATGATGTTCGACTAGTAAAACTTATGCAAGACGAATGTTAGGCCCGGATTAGTGCTTCAGACGAGCAAGCAAGACTTTCTCAACGAAGCTTTTCACTTTATTGTCCTCCTAAATGTTTGCAGAAAATGCGCAATTTTTAGGAGAGAAATTCCCCTACGCCGAGTCTGCTACAGATTTCAAATTATTTAAAGTAAGGTATCCGACAATACCGAAATTCTCCAATCTCCTGCGGAATTAATGCGCGAAGCATTTCCTTTTTTTGATTTGAAGAACCTTGCGGCATGTAAAATGACAGAAAATTTATATGCAA